GCCACACATGTGAAGCACAGAACAACATTGGCTGCTCTGAAGACGGTGACCCCCATCCCAGCCAGCACCAGTACAGACTGGTGCTCCATTCCCTCTCCTCTTGTCCTCTGAGGCTTTTTTTGGTTTGAGCCTCCTGTCCCAGAATGATGGCACCCAGGGCAAGATAAATTGCTGTATCTTCTTTCCTTTCCCTTCCTCTCCCCTCCTATCCAATTCTCAGGGGCTTTGAGGGCTTCTGCCCTCCCAGAGCCTTCCACAGCCCAGGCTGCTCAACCAGCTTGTGCAGCGGCCACGCGTCCCTTGCACAGAATGAGCAGCGAGGCCCAGAGGACTGGGCTGGGCAAGGATGGATCTGACAGCCGGGGGCTCAGCTGGAGTCATGGGTTCCTTCCACACCTGCAAGTGACGGTGCCCCAGGGGCACAGTCACCGGCTCAGGGTCCAAGTGGAAACCAGTGCTGACTGGTGTCCTTCAGGGGTCAATACTGGGACCATATTTGTTAGTATGTTCATCGATGACATGGGTAGTGGACTGGGTGGACCCTCAACAAGGCTGTGCATGACCCAAGCTGAAGGTTGCACTGCTGCACTTGAGGAAAGTGTTTCAATCTAAGGGATCTTGGCTGACTTGAGGAATGGTCCCGTGTGGGACTCAGGAACTTCAACAAGGCCAGGACTGGAAGGTGAATGGTTTAGAGCAGCACTGCAGAGAAGGAACCAGAGAAAATGGAGGTTGAAGTATTTGACATGAGCCAGCAATGTGCACTTTCAGGCCAGAAATTCAGTCATGTCCTGGGCTGCACCAACACAAACATGGCCAGCAGGTCAAGGGAGGGGACTCTCTGTTTCTGGTCTGCTCTTGCTAGACCTCCCCTGGAGCCTTTAGTCCAGTCTGGGGTCCCCATATCAAAAGAGACATGGACCTGTTAGAGCAGTTCCAGAGAAGGGCTGCAAAAACGATCACATGGATACATCACACCTATGGAGAAAGGCTGAGGGAGTCCAAGTTTTTCAGGCAGAAGAAGAGCAGGGTCTGTGGAGATCTTATTGCAGCCTTTGAATATGTAAAGGGCATGTACAAGGAAGTCAGAGAAAGATATTTTTCTGAGGCCTGTAGCAATTGGATAAGGAGCAACAGTTTTTAATTGAAATAGAGTAGATGTAGATGGGATAAGAGGATGAAATTTATGATGATGAGTGTGGTGGGATACTGGAAAAGGAGGTGGCCCATCATGGAGAGTGTTCAGGGTGAGTTTTGGTGGAACTCAGAGTAACTGATGTATTGACAGAAAAATGTCAGGAAGGGTTCTCCTGGTGTCTGATGGGAAGCTGGTTCTTGTGTCAGGTCAGTAAGATATTCACTGCTGAGAACTTGTGTCACAGAGTGGAGCTTAGGGAGGAAAAGGAAAAGATGTGCAAACATCTGGTTGTCAGTGGACAGTGGAGGGTAATTGTGTCCTGAGGCAAAGAGGCAGAAATTCAGACACCAGAGGGTCACTCCACACAGGACGGAGCTCACTCGGGGCCAGCCTGACAAATGGTGCAAAACCATCCCCAAGAAGCTCCTCCCAGAAACCCCCTGGGGCAACATCTGTGCCTTGGGAGAGTGTCTGCAGGGGAAAGGATGACACGGAGGCGTGGGCTGGGATGCAGCAGAATTTAATGAGTCAAGGGAGGGAAGAGAGGTGGATCCAAGGGGAGAGCCCAGAGCAGGGAGCAGCTTTAGCAGGGGAAGCAGCTCCTGCCACAGAGGCCACTGCCCAGGCCAGAGAGGCCAAAGCCCCCGGAGTTGATGGGCACTCCCTGAGAGCTGAGGATGCTGCCAACGGCAGCGGAGGTGGAGGATCCCACGGCGGTGTTCTGTGGGAAGGAGCTGAGGATGGGCCCGGGCAGGGTCACCACCACGGGGGAGGGCTGGATGAAGACATTGGAGTCCTGGCACTGCCTGACACAGGGCTCATTGCAGCTGTTGGCCAGCGGGGTCGGGCCGCAGGGCTGGCAGGGCAGGCACGGGGTGTAGCAGGACATGTCTGGGGCTGGAGCTGCACCTGGGACAGAGGGCAGGGGAAGCAGAGCAGGGTAGATGGGTGAGGAGCAGCCTCTCACCCCACCACAGGGGACCCAAGGCCTGAGTTGGAAAGGAGAGCTGAAGGTTGTTGATGGAGGCTCACAAGTTCTTCCCCTCAGACAAAGCCCAGCAGCAGCTCAAGCCCAGCAAGGGCCCCAACTAGCCCAGAGCTGTGGGGACACTTTGGCCAAGACTCAGCAGTTACACACCCTCCTTCTTTCCCTCCCCCACCACAAGCACTTCCAAGACCCCCCACGGGACAAAGTGCCAGGTCTGTGCTGTGAAATGCCAGAGGAGAAAATGGAGAATGGGCTTCAAACTCACCTTGTTCCCAAGGAGATGGAGGCGAGTGGAGGGAATGTGGGAGTAGGGAGAAGAGCCTGCTTTTATACTGCTCCTGCACTGCCCCAGGCCCACAGTCGCTGCACCAGGGCAGTAATTTTCCAACAGACTCATCTCCAAAGCAAACTATCCAGTGCAATGGCACAGATTCAGGTTTTGTTTCCATCTACGCTGCCATTTCATTTCCTCATTTCTGGCATTCCTGTCCTGCTTTGCAGGATCCTTTCATGTCCTGTGCTGGGAAGCCAAAGGATATCCCAGGCAGAATCCTGTCAGTGGAGGTAGAAGTTGTCTCCTTAGTGCCAGAGGTGTTGTCTTGGGGCAGTGAAAAGCAACTCTTTGCAATACCTTTGCAGGAAGAGGCCCAGGTCTGTCCCTCACTGCACACGTTCAGAAGAGCATCCAAAAGCTGTGTTTTGGGGACATGTCACTCGCTTCTCTCTCTTCCCTCTCTCTCACCTCTCCCCACACATCACGAGCTGTGGCATCTCCAGGCAGCCAGGCTGTGCCAGTGGTTCCAGGGCTCTTCCTCTTGGTGCCCTTTGCTCTGGGGAGGAGGTTTGACAGGCTGAGAATCCAGGGTGGGGTTAGGAAAGCCAAAGCCCACCTGGCACTGATTGAATCAGGCCAAGCACATGGAGGGCAACAAGGTGGTCTTCTCCAGGCAGGTCATCAGCAAAGGGGGGCTTGGCCAAAGGCAGGCCCAGTGGTGAACAGGGCACCTTCCCTGAGGGCAAGGGATACAGGAAAGCTGGAGATACTCAAAGGCTTCTTGTTCTTATTCTTTACTGTCAGGACTTTCTGTCAGGAATTCAAGCTCCTGAAAGTCCTTGGAACATCTCGATCTTCCCCACAGTAGAACAAGATCAGACAGGGGGAACTGTCCTGCACCTGGAAAGGAAGAACCTCTTGCATCAGGATGGACTGGGGACAGAACTACAGATCTTAGAGCCCACAGACCTCCTCCTGGGAGATCTGACCGTGGGGTAGGGTCAGCTGTGAGGAGAGACTTGGATGTTGGAAGGGGACAGACACACAGGCCTCCCCTGCCTGGCCAAGAAGACTGTGCTGCAGTGAGGAGCCCTCACCAGTGTGCTGTGGAGGGAAAGAAAGAGTTGTAGAAAATGACTCCCTACAGGCTGGGACCCTTCCCTGGTTCAGAGGTGGTACCTCTCCTCCTGGCATTAGGGCTTCAGCACACCTCCCCTGCCATTCCCCAAGGGCCTCCTCAGCCTGAAACCAAATCCAGCACCACTAGGGAGCCAAGGAAACTTCCCCCAGCTCCGCAGGGAGTGAGGCCTGGCAGGACCCTGAACAGACCTGGGGATGCTCAGGGAGGGGATGTGCTCAGAAGGGCCCCGAGTACAAACCCAGCTCTCACACTACGCCAAGCAGTGATGCTCTTCCTGCCCTGCAGACATGGAGGCAGCTGGGACGCAGCCCAGGAGGGCAAAGGAATGCCTTCAGTAGGCAAATTTCCTGGGATGGACTCTCCCTACCCCAGCGAGTCACGCTTTGATTCGGGGTTGGCCTTTTGGTGTTGGGCCAAGCCAGGAGTGTGTGCTGTCTGCAGGCTTGTGTCCCATGCGGGGGCAAATTCCCCTCCAGCAAGGGCAGCTCCATTCCAGGCCCCTGGAAAACCATTTTCAAGCACTGGGCTGTGCCCAGACCCACAGCTCCAGGCAGCCCCAAAGGCCATTGCCCTCAGCCTGCCCTGCATTGGCAGCACTGCCCAGGATTGGGAGCAGCCACGGGACTGAGAGCGTGAACTGCAAAAGGGGCCAGTGCCTCATCCAGCTCAGGGTGCAAAGTGTGCAGCCAAAGGGCCTGGTGCGGGGAGGAGAGGGGGGAGGAAGAAAGTGCTGTCCCAAGAGCCAACAGAGTCCTCAGGGAGTGAGGAAGTACCCAACACCACAGGGCTCCACCTCAGCCTGGATTGCTGCCCCTACGGATTAGTTCCTGCACGAGAAGTCCTTGGGCTTCTCATCCCAGGACATGAAAGGAATCTCCAGGACCCAATGGGCCTGTCAGCAACGAGGAAATGAAAGGGCAGCAGGGACAGAAACCAAAACACAGCCTGTGGCATTAGGTGGGATAGTTTGCTTTGGAGATGAGTCTGTTGGAAAATTACTGCCCTGTGCAGTGACTGTGGGCCTGGGGCAGTGCAAGAGCAGTATAAAAGCAGGCCCTTGTCCTTGCTCTCTCATCCACTCCATTTGCCTCCATCTCCTTGGGAACAAGGTGAGTCTGAAGCTTTTTCTCATCCTTCTCCTCCTCCCAGGGGATTTCTCAGTCCTTACCAGCTTCTTTGTTCCATGAAGGTTCTGACCATGGGTGAGGGAAGGGGGCAGAAGGTGCAACGTGGGGAAAGGCTGGGGCTTGTCTGAGGAGTCTCCAGAGCTCTGGGCCAGGCCAGGATCTCCCTTGGTTGCTCTTGGCAGGGCTCTTCTGGTGAAAAGGAGAAGCCTGTGGGTCTCTCTACACAGCCCCCAGGTCTTGCCTCCAGTTCATGCCTTTGGTCCCCTGTGGTGGGGTGAGAGGCTGCTCCTCACCCATCTGCCCTGCTCTGCTTCCCCTGCCCTCTGTCCCAGGTGCAGCTCCAGCCCCAGACATGTCCTGCTACACCCCGTGCCGGCCCTGCCAGCCCTGTGGCCCGACCCCGCTGGCCAACAGCTGCAATGAGCCCTGTGTCAGGCAGTGCCAGGACTCCACCGTGGCCATCCAGCCCTCCCCCGTGGTGGTGACCCTGCCCGGGCCCATCCTCAGCTCCTTCCCACAGAACACCGCCGTGGGATCCTCCACCTCCGCTGCCGTTGGCAGCATCCTCAGCTCTCAGGGAGTGCCCATCAACTCCGGGGGCTTTGGCCTCTCTGGCCTGGGCAGTGGCCTCTGTGGCAGGAGCTGCTTCCCCTGCTAAAGCTGCTGGCCCTGGCCCTGCAAGGAACCCAGGGACACACAGGATGGAACCGCCCTGGGGACGCAGCATCGGCTTCTGCTTCCAGAGCGGCTGAGCCAGCCCAGCAGCCCTTGCAGAAGGCCGGGGCCAGCCTGGGCTCTGGGCAAGCACGGCCCAGCCCTGCCTCTGCCCTCTGCCACTCTCTCCTTTCCCTCCTGTGTCCTTGTTCCCTTCTGCTCCTGTGGGCTCTCAGCCCCACAGAACCAGCCTGGGGAGGACCTGCTGGCCCTGTTCCCTCTCTGGATCAGGAAGATGGGATCTCTGCCACAGCCATGGACACACACTGTTGTCTGCCCTTAGTTCTTCCTGCGCTGGATTCCCCACTCTGACCGACCTCATTTTCATCTTTTCACTGATTAAAGTTCTGTTGCATCCCAGCTCATGTCTCTGCGTCATCCTTTCCCCTGCAGATGCTCTCCCAAGATGTCCAGGGAGAGAGGGGATCCTCAGGGATGTTTCTGAGAGTATTTTTGGGGATGCTTGTGCAATGCGTATTGGCACAATGATTGATACCTGAAAGGCTGTGGGAAGACTTTCCAAAGTATCCATCCTTTGGAGAATGCCTGAGCGTCAACCTGGTGGTGCAAGGCGGTGTGTGATGACCTTCCAGTCCCTTTGTTTTTCCTCTTTTTTGTTTTCCCCTGATCTCAAACCCAGGGTATCCCACTCTCTTGCTCTCCCAGTTCTCCCCCATCCCACTGGGACAGTGGATCTAGAGCAGAGCTGCTCGGTGCTCAGTGCTGACTGGGTTAAACACACCCACACAGGCCCCCAGCCCGTGCATCTCCCCCTTGCCCTGCTCATTCCCTGTCTGTGCCCAGGCCTTCCTGGGAATGTTTTTGGGGAGAGAGAGCCCAGGGAGACACAGAGCAGGAAGAGAGGCAGCGGGTATGGGCTGAGTGTCTCAAAGGGCTGTCCAGGAGCAGCTGAGGAAGGGCAGTGGCTGAACTGCTGCAGGACACAGCTGGGCAGGGTGACACGTGTCCACCCAGAGCCCTTGATGGCAGCTGACTGGGACCCCCCAGCCCTGAGTGCTGACACCTCCCTCAGCCCCTGGCAAGCAGCAGCCCCAGAGCAGGGCCAGGGAAAGGGGCTCCTGCAGTGACCCCATGAGAATAGAAGCCCAATGTGCCCAGACCCTGAGGACTGTCCTGAACCCCCTGGGCTGTGTGAGCAGGAGTGTGACCAGGAGATCCATGGGAGCCACAATGCTGCTCTGCTCAGCACTCACCTCGTGGCATCCAGGACTCTGCTCTGACACAAGGAAAGATGTAGTACAAGAAAGCCCTTGACCGAGGGAGTTCAGCAGAGGATTTCCAGGATTGTGAGGAGCTGGAGCACCTCCCTGAGTAGGGCATGCTGAGGGTATGAGACTTGCTGAGTGTGAAGGGGAGGCTTTAGTGGGAGACTTGAGAGCAGATTTGGAGTAGCTCTGGTGAGGTGCCTCAGAAGACAGATCCAGGCTCAACACTGTGCCAGTGCATGGCTGGAGGACTAGAGACACTGGACTCACACTGAAAGATGAGAGGCTGGGGCTAAATAGATGGAAAATGTTCTTCATCGAGGGGAAGATGAAGCAGTGGAATAATTGCTTGGGAAGGTTGTGCAGTTGCCTTCCTTGGATGGTCATGATGCCAATTTGTGCCCCAAAAAAGGCGCGGAAGAACTGCTCAGAGACAGAATTTTCAGTCTATAAGCAGGAGGTATTTATTTATGGCCGGGGAGCGGCCGGGGAGCAGCCAAGTCGCCCTGGACAGCCTACTCCAACGAGAAACTTACAATTTGAGCTTTTTATACACTTTTTGCCAAGCAATTACATCACATATTATGAATATTCATTACATTGCAACATCTGCTTTTAATATTCATAACAGGCGGAGTTGAGGCGGAGTTAGAGGTGTGGTCTTTAATTTGGGGAGCACTTCGGTGGTAGTTCCGTTCTTCATCATGAACCTGCTTTCCTCACCATCATCATCCTCTTAAACTTTTGAACCATCCCTAATTTGTGTAGTTTCCTTGTGCATTTGGCAGGGATTTCCAGTGTCTGGCAGAAGTTCCTGATTTCTTGGCTTGTCCCTTTTCTTATCTCCCTTTGTTTTCTTCCATATGTCCTTTTTTGTGTGTGCTAGCATTTCTAGTTCTCTCCGTTCATGCCCATGTTCCCTCATGTCAGAGTGTCCTGTATCCTAGTGGATTTATTGCCTCCGCTGTTTCCTAATACTGAGCTCTATGTGCTTTGCTGAAAGCCTGCATTTGTGCTTAACTCTCTCTAATCCTTACATTGCTTTACTAAATTCACTTCTCAGGTGTTACCTGGCTTCAGTCATGGCTGACTGAGCTGGGAACAAGGGGTTGGGCCCAATGATCTCTGCAGGTTCTTTCCACCCTGACTATGGTATGATCCTACGGACCCTGGGCCAGCCTGTGCCTCTGCCCACTGGGGTAAGGCCAGCAATGAGGAAGGCGGGCTCCGCTTCACGGTGAGGACACAGGCAGTGTGAGGACCTCTGTGGAATGCTTCATTGAGGGAAACAAAGGATTGCAAAAAACATCCCTGCACCAACTTAAAGACCACAAACCTGTGGCCTCCAGCTCTTGGGACAAAGTCTTCCTGAAGATGGTGTGGTGGTATGTTCCTGTTTTCGTGCTTTTATTTCCACCTCACCCCACAACTCTGAACCTCAATGCTATTGCTAGGACAGGATCTCCTGGGCTTTCCTGGGAAGGTATTCCCTCTGTCTTGTCAATAACACATTCATTCCTCCTCCCTCGGACTGCTTGTGTTACAGGGATGAGCTTACCAAGGCAAAAGACAAGGTGAACACAACAAAGCAGACGTTAGACATTGAACTTCACTGGTCACTCCATCCCCAAATAGACAGAGACCTTTAGAAACCAGCAAGTACACACAATTCCTGACTGAGTAGCCTCACTGCAAAACCACGTTGACAAACACTGCACAGCCTTTTCCAACAACCCCCTCCCAGAACCACTCCTAGACAACACCATTTCCCCTGGGCATGTTGGGAGAATGTCTTCAGGGGAAAGGATGACACAGAGACATGAGCTGGGATGCAGCAGAAGTTTATTGAGTTAAAAGAGGGAAAAAAGGTTGCTCTGAGTGGAGACCTCAGTTCAGGGAGCACCAGGGGTAGAGAATCTCTCTCCCTTGGATCTGGCAGACATCCCACCAGGAGTCCAGCTGCCGGATCCACAAAGGAGGTAGAGCCAGCAGGTCCTCCCCAGGCGGGTTCTGTGGGGCTGAGAGCCCACAGGAGCACAAGGGAACAAGGACACAGGAGGGAAAGGAGAGAGTGGCAGAGGGCAGAGGAAGGGCTGGGCCGTGCTTGCCCAGAGCCCAGGCTGGTCAAGGCCTTCTGCAAGGGCGGCGGGCTGGCTCAGCCCCTCTGGAAGCAGAAGCCGATGCTGCGTCCCCAGGGCGGTTCCATCCTGTGTGTCCCTGGGTTCCTTGCCAGGGCCAGGGCCAGCAGCTTTAGCAGGGGAAGCAGCTCCTGCCACAGAGGCCACTGCCCAGGCCAGAGAGGCCAAAGCCCCCGGAGTTGATGGGCACTCCCTGAGAGCTGAGGATGCTGCCAACGGCAGCGGAGGTGGAGGATCCCACGGCGGTGTTCTGTGGGAAGGAGCTGAGGATGGGCCCGGGCAGGGTCACCACCACGGGGGAGGGCTGGATGGCCACGGTGGAGTCCTGGCACTGCCTGACACAGGGCTCATTGCAGCTGTTGGCCAGCGGGGTCGGGCCGCAGGGCTGGCAGCAGGTTTTGCATGGTCTGGCACACGACATGTCCTGGCTACAGGCACCTGGCACACAGTGCAGGAGAAGCAAACAAGCAGACACACAGGAGAAGCAGCCATGCACCCAACCCCCCTGCAGACAAGGCACCTCCTGCACCACATGACACTGCCCAGCCCAAAGCCCAGCAGCCTCCTCAGCCAAGTCCCAGCCTCTCTCTGCACAACACCTTCTCTCCCCTTCCCTCTCCCAGCAGAAGCAGCTCCCAGCCCGGGGCTAACACAGCCCATATCAGCTGAGACCTGCAGTGAGGAAAGACGTGGTCTTGAAGCAGGAGGAGAAGGAGAAGAGGCTTCCCACTCACCTGATTCCTGAGGAGAAGGAGGTGAGAGAAGTGGATGCGAGAGCAGAGACTTGGGCTGCCTTTTATAGCAGTCCTGCACTGCCCCAGGCCCACAGGCACCTTTGTGCAGGTCGTAATTTTCTGACCAGCTCATGTCAGTTGTGAACCATCCCAGCTAATGGTAGGGGCTGTGTCCTGGTTTCCTGCACTGCTGCCTTTTCATTTCCTGGTACATGCCAAGTGCTTTCCTACATGAAGCACCATCTCTCTAAGTGCCAGGATGAGTGACTCCAGGATTTGTAGGGCAGAAAGATGCCATTAGAGGAAGAAGTTTTAGATGAAGGGCTGTTGGCATGGCTTGAGGGCAGGTGATTTGCCCCAAGGTCATTCCTGTGGTCTTGTCTTTGGCAAAGTTGTCAGGAAATGGACACTGCTCTTGTGCTTCTTGTACACGTGCCCAAGGACTGCCATGGGAGGGGACATGACACATCCTTGTCTTTTGCTTCCACCTCGTCTCTGTGCTGGTCACTCTTACACTCAAGTGGGCTTCTGCTGGGGGGTTGACCCTATTGCTACTCTACGTGTACTCTCAGATCAGTGCACTGGGTCCTTCGTGTCATGCCCCCTCTGTGCCCTCTCTGGGTCCTCTGTCCTTCCAAGGTGTGCTGGAGTCCTGCCCTGCCAGGGTGCTCCTCTGCATCTCCTCTGCAGAGCCTTGATGTTTAGTGGCTCCAGGCCAGTGATGAGCAACCCAGTTTCAGAGCCTGCTCTTTGCTCTGCGTGAGATGGAGACTTGGTGAGTAGAGCAGGAAGGTGCTGGATGTCAAGGTCTTGGACTCCCTGGAAGAAATTCAGGGGAGACCTTATCACTCTTTATCATTTTCTGGAAACAGGTTGTAGCGAGGTGGCTGTTGTGTCTTCTCCCAAGTAACAAGGGACAGGACAGGAGGAAATGGCCTCAAGTTGTACCCAGGGAAGTTAAGATTGGATCTTAGGAAAAATTTCTGCTCTGAAAATCTTTGAAAGCTTAGATGTGGCACGAGGGAACAGGGGTTAGTGGTGGAGTGGGCAGTGTTCAGCTTACAATTGGACTCCACGATCCTAAAAGCATTTTCCTCCTTCTGTGACTGTGTAGCTTCCATCAGCAGTGGGCATTTGAATTGGACAAGTAATTGTGAGGGAATGAAGAAGTCAGTGCAACCAGGAATTACCACACATACAATGAGCCTTTTCTTCTCCATGGATCTTCTAACCCTGGTGGGGAATGGCC